TAATAGTTATAAAATGAGTGTATAGTAAGAGAAATGCCTTTGACTGTTTTGTGTCCGAGGCTGTTTGCTCATCCCATGCTTTGATATGAACGTTGTGGGTGTGGCCGCAATGATTACCGTTCATGCCATCCTTTCAAGTACCTTTTGGCCGAATTTGGCTCAAGCTAATCGTGTCAAGAATTGGCTGATTACTTATTTGACAGATCCGAACTCACATAATGCGGTTCGAGCACAGCACTTATCCATTTGTCCATCGAGAGAGGCCTCATGCGCTTTTCTCGGTATCTTGATGCTTTACGATGGAGAGGTTCTGGGAGACGGGCAGTTGAATCGGTTTTGTGTAATCGATTCGCCGCTCGCAGTAGACTTGGACTAGTTGCCTCGTTATCGCGGTGCTAGCATTCTTCATACAGCTCGATCATATTTACGATTATTGTTTTTGACATGATTCTACCGTTCCTTCTTTTGTTCCTGTATTTCTTAATTGCTGCGCTGCCTCATCCTACATTTCTTCGCGCGCGACGCCGCACTCCCGTGAAGCGACAATTTTGATTCAACTGTACCACACCGGTGTTCTCAGTTTCGTCGGGCGCCTGTCACTTAAAACTTAACTCAGCACCTTTGCAACAAATTTTGATCTGGGTTTCACAGAACAAATCATTCCAGATAAATTACAAGATATGCCAGGAAGGGTTGTGAATAGGCAGCCACGTTATTAAGCTCTGAAAGGAGAAAAAAAGGATGAACCACCCTTTTTTGGGATACTTGAGACAAGGCGTCCTTCTAGTCTTCTGTTGAGCTCTCCTCTTTTGAAGACGATTATCGGCAAGCTTCTTTCAATTATCCGCTTCAGTGCTCATGGCTATGATGGCCATGACAAACACTCGACTCAGTATAATCATCGCTGTCATCGCCACACATGGACATGCAACCACAGCCTACGGTAGGTGTCATGCAGATAGCTTTACTTTTCCGTTTCAGTTACTTCTATCCCGAAATTTGGCGACATTTTACCACAAATAATATTGATTTCCACTAAAAACTCATAAACAAACTTTTTTTCAACAATAATTCAGTGGCATTCATTTTGTGATCAACATGTACTGCCATCGGACGGATTCTACGAATACGCTGAAGATGAAGGTGATCGTCGTGCAGCTAACGTAAGGGAACGTAAACGAATGTGTAGCATTAACGTAGCATTCATTGTAAGTACTACTTTGAAAGGGAGTTACTGTAATGTTTTTGATGATGTTTACAGCCACACTACTTGTTCAGGAGCTAAGAAATTATATTCCGACATTTCCCTTTGAAAAACGGCTGTCGAAGATCGACACACTCAATCTCGCCATAGCTTACATCAACATGCTGGAGGATATATTGAGGTACCATGACCATTCACAATATTTTACAATTTTTTTTTGTAACGGACAGGTTGGCTTATTGTTAGAAACCAAAGGCGATTATTGGTATGTGCAAATCATGAATATTGATTTCCTGCACAAGGGTGCGTTTACTCTTGTTACTATTAGCAACCATGGAGAAGGCTCCCCAGACGTGAACCGGCTTCTCACCAACCTTTCCTCCTTGCCTT